AAAAGACAAATATGCTGCCAGCTTCCTTTAGATTCAGTAAGAACAATGCTTTTAATTCTGCCTCCTGACTCTCTACATGAAGATCATCAAATAAGCAGATAGAACAAGAAAATGAAATTTTAGATATTATGGAAATGAAATGCTCAAATGACACAAATGACAATGGGCAATTTTCACATCACTCAATAAACTGAGGCTCTATTCGGCCTTATTTATGCCATGAGTTATTTTGAGTTTAACTTTTTAAAAGAGAATAGCAAGGAATGAAATCCTCACCCTTGGTTTTACAGGAGAAAATCTGCCTATCTACAAAACTTCCAAGGGAACTAGCTACTTTGATGGGAAAGGGACCACAAACCCATGGGGATTCCCTACTGAGGAGTGAGAACATTGTTTTCTTTTGCCCCCAACTAAATAAACTCTTATAGAAGCAGTGCAACAGCATTTGGGATGATGCAGCCTCCTTTTACAAGAAATAACTTTCTTTTTAATATATTCCCTTGGGCATTGGGAAGGAAAATCTTTTGCCTCTTAACTGCTGACTCAGTGACCTGAGAATTGGGTCAAAATGAAAAAATAATCCACAACTCTGCCTTTAGTTTGCTTAAGAGAAAAAGTGTCTTAAAAAATATATATTTTTAAAGGAGACACATACCTGAAATCACAGGTAAATGGAATGCTGATAAATATGCTTTAATTTATGGCTGCTGTTATATATTTTTTGTTAGTTGTAATTTCAGTCGATACTTGTAATTGAGAATGTCCAATAACTTCCCTTTTTCAAAAATTTCTTGTGTTTTTTTTTAAATTTTTTTTGGCCTTTTCTTGGGTTTTTCTTTATTATCTCCACTTGTCTTGGCTATGGAGAACCTTAATCTAAGTTTTCTGGAATGTCACGTTTTCAAGAAAAATGCAATATTTCAAATAATTCATTTAAAGTAAGTTTTAAATATATAATTTTGCATGTGACTTAGTAATACATTGATGACCTGATTCTCAGTGTTGAGATGTTATTTTGGTTAAAATACCATTTTAACCAAATGGTATTTAACCACATCTTTAATACCATCTCTAAAGAGACAGAGGTGGAGAACTTTACTCTTAGGAAAGATGGGGCTTTCCTACTTAAACTTTTCCTACTTCTTGTTTATCCCCTATAAATATTCCCTATAAATTTAAATATATTACAACAGGGAAAATTTCTCCTTTCTTGATGCCTGAATTTATAGTTTCAACTGCAGTTCACTTTCAGAGTCTTCTGGGTGGGAAACGATACTTAATAAATTGGGCTTCTATGAATGCATTTATAACAGAGTATGTATTTTCAAGGTGAGCTACAACACAGATTTCAAGACCTGTGTCTCTTTTGGAAATAAGCAGTTTCAAGGATGAATAACATATAAGACATGTCCTACTTGAGGGTTCTTCCTTGCCCTTTCTTGAACTAACTTTGCTTAGACCGAGCAAGCCCTGTGTTGTTTGCATACAGAGAGTTAGAGAAGAGATTTAGCAAGATCTCACTGGAAAACAATAACTGTTGCAAATAGAAAACATACTCAACACAAATGACCTAGTTTTGGGGGGCCAAGTGCATTATGCTTCACAACTTACAAACATGATTTAATTTTTGTCATTGTAGCCATTTCTTTTTAGCCGACACTATTTATATGTATTTGGTAAAAGGTGCAAATTTCCAAATTTTGTCTTATGGAATAAAAAGACTTTTGGAAATGTGAAAGAGGGCACAGGGTGTTCACACATTATGACTGTTCCCTGTTTCCCACTGTCAGTGGCTTATTATCCGTGGTGTATTCTCATTTGGTCAGCCCTCAGAGGAATGAGGCTTCTCTTTCAGGCACACAGTCTTTTTGCTCCTTTGTTTTCCATTAAAAAAAAAATCTTACAAACTCTTGGAAATAGGTAAACAAAGGGCTGAACCCCCCATATATGGTTGCCAGACATAGGAAACTGTTTCCACATGAGGTGTGGTCCATTTCTAGGGATTGTCATAAATAGCTATGTTCCCCAAATTCTATGAATTCAGTTCAGCTTAAAGACTAAAATTTGAGTTTGGGGCACTCAATAAACACTTGATTGATTGGATTAAATTCTACCTTTCAAGATTTTACAATTTTTCCCTAGGAAATGTGTTCTTGGATAGCTAAAAGGAACAAGTCTGTTAGGTTAACAATATACTGATTGGCAGAACCAGGTGCTAGTCATGCCATAAAGATAAGCTTCTTTCCTGATTTTCAAACTTAGGTCACTTGGAGAATGCCTAACGTGTGCAACAGAGCCACCCTCACTCCTCCATAAGAAAGCTTCCTGTTAATTTCTCTGGCTCCTCTATGCTCACACTTACATTCTCCCAGGAGATCAGCTGCATAGTAGTTGAACTCGGTCCCTAGACATCTGCTTAGAGGCTTTAATATAGGTTTCCAGGCAATAGAGAAGCTGCAAGGCAGAGCCGGTTTGACCTGGTGGGGGCTAGGAGGCAGTCCGTTCATGGTGACTGGCAAAGTATATAGGCACGTCTGCCCCTAAAGTATCCTATGAAAGTGAAAACATCCAGTGATGATAACTCATGAGACTGTTAAGAGCAATGAGTCGACTAATGGATGAGTTAGGGAAGCCAAGTGCAGAGACCAAGGGCGTTAGTTATAGGGCAAGAGTTAGCAGCAACCCTGTGAGCAATCACTTGCAATATTGTGCCCTTGGGGATTTTTAAAAGCTTTATGCTTCTTTTGGGACTCCAGGACAAGCTCTTGGAAATAAGCAGGGCAGTTTTTATTTTTCTTGTTGATGGATAAGTTTAAATGGCTTCTGTAATTCAATAGCGAATCCAGAAAAATCCTGAATTTAGACTATTAGGGAAGATAGTAGGTTTAGTATGGTCTTACAATGGATGAGAAGCTGCCTTCACCCTACAAGCCTCTAGAGAGTGGGCTGGTGGAATGACAAGTGGGTATGAGACCCCCACAAGAGTGATGGGAGAGCGCCTACTCAAGAATTTACAATACTTTATAATGTGACTGAGCACTGCATTGATTCTTTAATGACGAAAGTGCCATTTCCTGGCCTCCTCCATACAGACAGTAACTTTTTAAGGATTTCCACACTTAATGGAATATGGGAAACCAAAAATTTGAGTCTTTTCTGCTGAGAAATGCTTAGTTAATTGCTTCTACAACTTAATAGGAGTCAGCTTCTCTAATGTATATATCCAACTATGGACAATTACCACTTCGGAATGGTTCAGCCCATTTCTTTCTTTATTTTTTTTACTTTTTTTAAAATTTAAATTCAACTAACATGTATTATTGGTTTCAGAGGTAGAGGTCAGTGATTCATCAGTCTTATATAATAGCCAGTATTAATTACATCACGTGCCCTCCTTAATGTACCTCACCCAGTTACCCAATCCCCCCACCCAGCCCCCCTCCAGCAACCCTCAGTTTGTTTCCTATGATTAAGAGTCTCTTATGGTTTGTCTCCCTCTCTGATTTCATCTTGTTTTATTTTTTCCTCTCTTCCCCTATGATCCTCTGTTTTGTTTCTTAAATTCCACATATGAGTGAGATCATATGATAATTGTCTTTCTCTGATTGACTTATTTCCCTTAGCATAATACCCTCTAGTTCCATCCACATTGTTACAAATGGCAAGATTTCTTTTCTTTTTTTTTTTTTTTGATGAGCCCATTTCTTTAAGAACACATCTTCCTAAGGAAACAAAGCAAGGGCACAAGTGGTATATAGAAGAGAAGGTGGGCTTCTGAGTGAGACCTGTCTGGGTTTGAATCCCACTCCTAAATAACCACAGTACAGAGGACCTGTCCCTTCACTGAGCCTCAGTTTTCTCAGTTAATAATGGGAATAATATCCATTCTTTGCTGGGGTCTTGGGAAGACTAGATGAAATGAAATTATTTTTATTAAAAATCAGTTGATATTAAAAAAATAAACTCATCAAGATAAACCCATTGGATCACATTCTGCAGCTAAGATAAGACTGTCTCAGATAATAGATGCCATGGTTTTAAAAGATGTCCCATAATATCCTTCTGGATATATTCACACTGCAAAAATTATTAACACTGTGGATTCATTAGAAGCCAAATTAAGCTGCTTTCCCATGCCATGCCACTGTCACGCAGGATGCATGCTCTGGGCAGATTTCACGCATTTTTGTCTTTGGGTTGGCAGAGCTGTCAAAGGCCAGTTTTGAAAGATGAGGCTATCTACAGATGCTTGCATAACATAGTTAAGCAGAGAAACAAAAATGAAAATATCCCTTGGTCATTCATTGTGTGCTAGATAGCTTCTGTTTGTGCTTTCAAATGCACTCTCCACCCTGCTCCCACCGCCCTGGGCCCAGAGAAACCCATCTGTACATCTCCATCAGGGTTTCCTTGCCCTCTGGTTTATGGCTAAGCTAAGTCAATGGGGATCATCAGCAGAGACTGGGAGATGAGAGTGAGTGAGCTCGGGGTATTTAAATCTTTTTCAACTCAAGACAGTATTTATATGGCTTACCAGAGTAAATGCATAGCTAGCTACTCATAGCTCAATTGACTGGCACAAGCCCAGCCCCGTACCAGGATGCTAAGCGGATTCCTATATAGGCTTACCGGTAACCCATTAGTGACACACTGAGGCATTGCCTTAGTACACCCCGTACTGCCTATGTTCACAAGATGTGCTCAGTAAATTTCCCATAGATGTGAATACATTTTTGAGTAGTAGTAAAAAGTCATGATTTGTTGTATAATTCTTATTTGGTTATGACTGAATTATTCACAACCCGTTACTACTGCATATAGCAGTTACTTCTGATAACTGTATAGAAATGACACACCATGCTTTATGCAAAATTCCACTGTAAAAGTAAATCCGATCGCACATGTAAACAGTTGTTTAAGTCAGACAACAGCAGCACGTTCACTACTTATGGGGACTATGTCTTTAAGAATAAATCACAAGCAAGTCATGCAATCCTTACTGGATCCCTTCTCACAAGCTCTCCATTGGGTACGACTTCAACTAGGTGGATGATGATAATCATAGAATTCAGAATGTAAGTCAGAAACATGTTCTTGTGCAGAGTCACCCTCTGGCAGCCAAGGCTCCTGGAAGAAAATGTAATAGAAAGCATTAACCAGTGCCAAAATATGGAAGGATCTGGAAAAAAATATTTTGGTAATATTTGTAATATTTCCTTTAGCAATCAGTGAGAGACCTATAGGAATAAGTGAGGCTGGTCCCATCTTTAAGACTCATTACCACTTTTCTGCCTGATTTTTACAAACAGTTTTCCAGTCATGGTAGCTCATAGTTTTTAGTCCTCAGGGTGACTTCATACAATAACTGAAAGAGTGAGTGATAAAAATCACTTTTAATTATAACAAATGTCGTGAAATTAATTAAGAGAAGGACTCTTACAAGAGAAACCATTAGGGTTTGGAGTGTGCTTCAGATGAAAAGTCGAATATTCATTGATGTAACCAGGCAGAAATCATGTGGCGAATGGGATAACAGAGCATGAAGTCAGAACCAAGGCTGCCCTTGACAAAGTACTGATTTTGTGTCCCTGACCCATCCCAGACTTCATTAAGTCTCCGTCATTCTTCTTTTTTGCCATTTCTTCTAACATCTTCTTATTTCTCATATTCCAACTAGAATCAACTCTGTGATTCTCCCTTTCCACATCCTCCTGATGGTGGAGCTGAGACACAGTCAGAGAATTCTAAATAGGCTCAAATTTGATCTCATTATGAGGCATATTGTGGTTTGCATCTGATGAAACCCATCCAAGTGCTGCCGCTTGTTGGCATAGCCATTTCCCACCTTTTGGATACTAAACAATTTGTTGGATTTTTCATTCCTTGCTCCTCCACTTCATAAGCTTGTACATATGTATTTGTGTGAATGAGCACATAAATAAACATTAGTTTGAATATCCTATTTCACTTTTTGATGCAAATGGAGAGAGTCCTGCAGGATGGCTACAACAAAATTGGAATGATTATCCTTGATGAACAAAAATCTTGCATTTACCATAATTGATCCAGTCAAAAAATGTTTAGCATAATGTGAAAATTTAAAACATTCAGCTAATGATGCCAATGATTGATCACAGTAACTATTCCTAAAAAATCTTCATGGAAGAAAGTTAGGATTCCAGGAATTTTGAAAAGGGAATTCTGGGGAAAGATGAAATATGAGAATGGTCTGGGTTTACTTACAATGCTTTTCTAAATTTCAGATCAAAAGAAAATGCAATTATCTGTAGTAAAATGAAGATTTAAGTAATGAGGGCATCTGTTAGGGCTTATTTTGATTATTGTAGCTACATCTTTCAACTTTCAGGAAGCAAAACCATTAATAAATTGTTAATACAGAATATTTTAAAATTTGCAACTTGTTGAGTAGGGATAGGATGCAGAACTTTATATCCAGGAAGGGTTTAGAGAAGAACTTACACACACACACACACACACACACACACACACACACACACACACACACACACACATCCATGTAGTACTTTCTTTGGCAGCAGAAAGCTCTGTTAAATAAACCAAACCTAATCGGTTTTATAATAGTACTATAAAAGTAGGTTGCAAACTTAAGGCTTTAAAAAGAAAAAAGTTATTTATGTGAAACATCATACCCATTTATATTGCATAAACTCTTCAATATTGCAACTGCTACATTAAAACTGTGACCTGCCATTTTCCATAGAGTCAATACGGCATTTTATAGTTCTTCTTACTGGGGGGCAAATATCTGTGGTCTCGTTATTGGATTCAGCCTGGCTTAAACCAACAACAGTTGACATTATCCAGAACTAAAGAGTATGGAGGGGGGCACCTGGGTGGCTCAGTCGTTAAGCGTCTGCCTTTGGCTCAGGTCATGATCCCAGGGTCCTGGGATTGAGCCCCGCATCGGGCTCCCTGCTCGGCGGGAAGCCTGCTTCTCCCTCTCCCACTCCCCCTGCTTGTGTTCTCTCTCTCGCTGTGTCTCTGTCAAATAAATAAATAAATAAATAAATAACTTAAAAAAAAAAAGAGTATGGATGAATGCATCAAACTGCAGCTATTCTCGTGCCTGGTTTTCTTTTAACTAGGTCCAGTTCAATAATCTGCCGGTGTATGACATCAGTTTAAAGGACTGGTTAATGCTCAATTTAGTGTGTAAATCAAAAATATACTTCCTCTGCTGCTAGCTTATTACTCCCTGGCCCTTTTATCCATGCTTTATTAGTTTTTGTTCTTAACACCACCTCCTGACATAACATCTATGTTTATTGCCTCTTATTTTCTCTTTTTCTCTCACCAGAGTGGGGGTGCTAAAGGAATTCGTTTTGTCCACCTAGAAAAGTGTCTGATACCTTGCAGGGTTTGATACTCATGTTTTTAAATTAAAAATCTTTACATAAGAGAGGTTTTCTTCTTCAAGCTGTGACCAGTAAACAGGTTTCCAGTACATCAGAAAATTACATTAAATGCTAGATTGTCTCATATCTTATACTTTGTATCATACTGAACATTTGCCAAGTTCTTGCTATAGGTATTAACTAACTAATACTGGACATTATGCTGTTGTTCAACAGTAGGGAAAACCTATATCCAGTGCAGTATTATGTACATAATGAGAAAATTATCTGGTTTAAAGCCAGATAAACTGGCTCCAAAGGAAGAATATGACTAGTATAGAATATGAGTTTCTGTGTCTTGAAGTTTCAATATAATTTCTGCCTATTGAGTTTAAAAAATTTTATTACACTTACTTGATGACATTTACACTCAGCTTTTGAAGCAAGTTAGTGGTACTTTAAGTTTATTAAAATTCATTCAGTAATCCAACACATATTACTGTGTACCCATTTAATAATCCAACACACATTACTGTATGATTCAGACCTTCTGGTAGATGCTAGGGATATACGGGTGAACAAAACAGACAGCTTCTGTTTACAGGGATCTTATATGCTACATAATTGTTTATTTACTCTTATTAGGATAACTGTTCTGAAGGAGAGGTATAGGACGCTAAAGAGATTAACTGAACTTAACATAAGTAATTAGGTGTTCAATTGTTCTCAATGAAAATGTCTTGCTGCTTGAATGAACTTGATCTGTCAGATCTGAAATGTCTTAAGTAGAAAATAGCACAAACCTGATGTTAGCTATACTTCGTTCCTCTTGATGAAAAGAAATAGGTATTTAGATAGACCGAACATTACTTCCTTTTTGAATGACAGGGAGCCCCAAGTACTATAGATTCTCTAATAGCAGGAGGCTAAGACAACATAATCTACTTCTGTCTTGGCCCAGCCAAAGTGTCACTCATATGTGAGGAAGAGATAATGATTTACTTACGTATGAATCTCAAGATGCCATATTTTAAGGCTAAAACTAAATGTTATTTTCATGGTTTTAGTTTACTTGGTGTAAATCTTCCACACTAAAAAATGTTTCAAGTAATTGGGACCCTATGTATGTATGCGTGTGATTTGGGGGAGCTTGTAGTTGTATGAGGAGGCATTTAATATGTGCCTTGAGTTGTGCAGATTGCATAAACCAGTTTGATATCACAGCATAAGGAATAGCAGTGTTCAGTTCTTTATAAGACTGTAATGATAGTCACATTCAAAGTAAATAAGGAAAGAAGCAAGTAATAAAACAAGTTAAAGTTGTTTTGTGTTTACTGGTGCATGTGAAAATATGCATTGGTGTAACTGCTGTGACTGGTACAAGCAGTTGTCGCTTTCCTTTACCTAGAAACCCAGTATCTTATACATCTTTCCTCTCCGAAAAGAGACTTTATACCTGTGGATTTAGCACAAAATCTTCATCCTTAAGGAACTCCTTTTCAATCATAATTCTTGTTTCTTTTCCTATTACTTCTGTTCTATGAGTGAACAGTTTGCTAAGACGTGAGTGACAGTTATCTTTTGTGTCCAGTCATGTCAAGGGTTGGGTTGGGAGAAAGGAGGCTAGCTATCTTTGGTGCCATTGATTTAGTGGTTTTTCTGGAGCAATAGGAAGGCAACCAGAGATGTCGAATAGTGGCTACTATACAAGTACAAGATAAAGTGTTATCTCTCCTTCCACTATGTAGATGTGACAAGAGAATACTAGGGCATACTGAGTGAGTAGAGGGGAATCAGTATTGCTTCTGGAGGTCCCTGTGGAAATCCTTCTTTTGTGCTGGTATGGCTAATGTAATGTAACATAGACAATGCAAGGCAATAAAGACACCCCCTGCCTTCCAACATACAACTCTATTCATTTTCAGACAAGAGTAATTAATATTCAAAATTTAACAATCAGTAAGGCATGAGTATCAAGTAGTCAAAATGGATGTTAGTGAATGTTCAATTGTGGTGCTTTCTTGAGAGAAAACAGTGAGATGTTTTAGTAATTTAGGACGATTCCACAGAAATGTCAATTGATACATTCTAAGTGGAACTGACGGGATAAGTGAATTTTATTGCAAACTTGCTTAAATGGTCAGGGAACAAACACAAATAAATGGCCACTTATGTGACTTTCTCAGGACAGTCTTTCCTAAGGGTATCTTCATCTTAATTCTCTTGTTGACATTTACTATTGGCATCTAGTAGTGAGGAGTCTTGCTGAATAAATTTGATGTTTCTATTTAATCCCTCTCTGTATTGTTGCTCCTAACTATTTTTCCTGCAAAGAAAATGAGTATATATATGAGTAATTTCCTAGATTTTTAGCAGCAAAGTATTGGCAGTTCCACAGCCTCCCGTATATTTAGTAACTTTAAATTCCTCTGCAGGCTTTCTTAGCCTGCTGGTTTGAGGGGGACACCTGCAGGGTTATTCCTTTTTATAGACCCTATAAGGCACATTTTATGAGTTGAGAGTGAGATTTCAACAGGATGATTATGAATGGGGCATTAGGTCTCAAAAGTGGAGCTGGGTGTAACTTCTCATTTTGGTTTCATGAAAGTTTTATGAAATTGATTAGATTTTGCAGAATAACTCAAGCCTGGGAATGTAGAATTAAGCAAGGGAGTGATGATTATATTTCTGCTCAGGTTTCACACAGATGATACCATTTAAGCACATAAATCATAAAAGCTTCCATTGTAATATGCAGTAAAGACCTTAAGGGTGATGTTGAGCATTTGAAAACAATTCTGGGAAAATGTTGCTAATTAAAAGATAAAACCCAGTGATAGATCAGAATTACCTTTTTTATTTTTTCACTTTTAATATTTATGAAATGCAAATGTACAGAAAAAAATCTGAAGATTCAGAAGCATACTTTAATTTGAAGAAAACGGATGCCCTTGCTATTTTTAGTTTGGGTAGGTTTAAGATAAAATTAAGAACAAGTATAAAAATCAGATGTGACTGCTTTTAGATCTCAGCATGTGTGTTTTTCATATCCTATCCGTCTCTGGTTGTGTGCACTCTGGAGAACAAGCTATTTCAGTTTCTGTCTTCCCATTACCGTATTCAGATTATAAATCAATAAGACTTGATTTTCCTCCTAAGATTTAAGTTGCTGTTTGGTAGGCTTTTGGAATTGAGAGACAGTAGGACAAAATTAGATGCTTTCTAGACAATCTGCCCCCAAATTCTCTCAAGGGTTCAACCAGATTAATCTTGTTCTGGGTCTAACTGGCGTTGAGAAATATTTTACTTATGTGCTGCACTTTTAAACACACATCTTCAGTGGCTTCATATAGAAATGAGTGTTGAAGGAATATTCTTATTTTGTTAGCTGATTTGGCTCTCACATCTCATCACTTACTTAAGTGACTGCAGAAATAAAGAACTAAGATATATCCGGTTGACATTTTTTTATCTTTAAACTCCTGAATACATTTATTAGCTGCACTATTACAAATTTGGGGGCTGTTTCTTTCAATTTTTTTCCTTTCAATTTTTTTATGGTTATATTAAAAAATTTAAAGGTTAGACTTTTAGTGACAGACTTTTTAATCAAAGTTGTATGGGAGCCATCATGATGTATTTATTCACCATGGTCAAGTGCAGTTGAAAAATGAATAGAAATTCCAAGATTAATCATGCTATGTGTTTACTCTGCTGCATTCTGATCATTATAATTGAAAATACTCTTCTATTCTAATTCTAGGAATTAATCCCTTATGTCTTGTTGCTTTGTGTTTATCTTTCTCCAGTTAAACCATATATGGAAGGAGCTCATTCTTTGTTAATTTAAATTATTATTTATTTGTTTACTATTATTTATTATTATTCAGTTAAGAAAAAATTGCTATTCAGTTGCATTGCTTGGTCAGAGGAAGAACCTTGACTATATAAGACATAGACCTAATGTGATAATGGTATAAGATGAAGACAAAGATTAAAAGGGATCAGGGAAAAATAATAATAGTAGTTGTGTTCAGGGTGTGCTTACAGGTGACTCTCCCCTTGGCTTAATTTTCTTTAGTAGTATCATGATAATATTTTAACAAAAATCAAATTAAGATTCTGTTATACTATGTATGAATCACTGGATATTTAGTTACATTATATATTTAGTTACATTATCACATCTTTAAAGTGTGGAGGATTATTTGCAGTGTGAGCCTATGAAGGAGCTTTTCTTGACCATTTGTATAATACCACCACTACTAAAGAACATATTAGTTGAAGGAGACAACCCAGTAGTATAGAAATTAGAATTCTCATGCAAGGGTAATGTAGTGCCTCCTGCCTTTGACTTAAAAAAATCACACTAAATTTAGGACGTTTCCAGGACTGAATTTAACATACATTACCATCTCACATGCATGATGAAGTCATTCTGAAAAAACAGATTCAATGTTTCAAATTCTCCATTATTACAAAATCAATATTTATACCAACTTAATCATTTTGCCATAGGTAATGCAATCAAGTGCACAGACATGGCCTCGGAATAGAAACTTCATTGAGATTTTGCTCTTCAGAGCGTTAGAAGGTAACTGTGGTTGAAGATGCTCAGTTTGCAAGGGCAAAACATTGACACTTAACTCTTCTTCCAGAGATTCTCCTTGGTCCCAGCTGAGTGAGTCAGGACCAGAAGGGAGCCTTACCTTCCTTCTATGGCTAAACACTATTCTGGGCTCACTAGCCACACTTCTCTTCCAGCCAAATCCACCTATGATAAACTCATAATTAGACAAGCTGCACTTGAGCTTCTGGCCATGGCCTCCATATTTTAGGATGAGGGTGAAAGAAGGAAGAGGAGCCTCTCCTCAGTACCTCCTGCAACCTTAGCCATGGTAAGTGGAGCCTTTCACATGTTAACACAGTGTGCCTATGGGCTCACAGGACTGTTTCATTTTGGGAAGAATCATATTACCTTTGAAAATTATATGAATCCATCTTATTTTCCTCAGAGATAGCATTAGAAAGCATGTTTTAATTAATTTCATTTTCCTTGCTACTTCATGACTCCCAGTGCTGCATTTCTCCTGTGGTTTGCAGAAGACCACCCTTCCCCTAACTCTTGCAGTTTGCCATTTATTTCAGTACCTTAAAGAAGAAAATAAAAAGCAGTTCCATTGAGGGTACTTACTTGAAAAACACGAAAATCCCCAGCGAAATCACCAAGGTGAAAATCGACAAAGAATGGCCCACAATAGCCAAGTAGTACAGAACGTATGCATTCTGGAACAACAACAACAACAAAACAGTTATAAAAATAAACAGGCAAATAAATGGTAATAGAGGAGGGAAAATAGTTTCTATCTTTAATATCAGTGTAAATCAACAACTGTTCTCAGCCTTTAAAAAAATCTACTAAAATTATAACAAATGTTTCAGAGAATTAAATTATACTGAATCATAATATTTGGGGTTAACAGGTTAAATATTATAAGATTACCCATCATATTAGAATAGGCATGATGTGGTGGGAAGAACGTAAGACTGGATTCATCAGCGCTGTTCTTTACTCGGAGTACTAATCATTAAGTCTTTGTGTGACTCTCATAAGTCAGTCACTTCACCCCTCTGGATCTCAGTAGTCCTCATCTCTAAAATAATTTGGTCAAAACTAAATGATTTTTAAAACAATTATGTGCTGCTTATAAGAAACATCGTTAACTACTGGGATGCAGAAATACTGAACATAAAAGGACAGGAAAAGATGATCTAGATAAACACTAACCACAAGATAACTGGTATCATATCATAAAGGTCCAGATGTTAAGTCAGGAAGACAAAACAATTTTTAATTTCTATTCACCTAATAATATAAACTCAAACCACATAAAGCATAAAGCAAAAGCTGATACCACTTAATAATCAATAGAACATTGGTACAAATGCAGTGTAGGTAAGTTGGATAATTTCTATGAACTTTTTTAATTCCTGGGAGAATTGTGGCATTTATGTACAAAGCATTACCCTTCAACATTTGATTGTTGTCAATTTCCTTGTGAAGAGCCTGATATGGAAGCACTGATTCTGCTAAAAGGCTCTTGAAGCATGCAGAGTCTTTTGTTTGGTGATGTGCATTAATGCTGGACAGAAAAAAATATTGCCTTTCTAGGTGTTAGAATTTCAAAATGAACTAATCAATGTCTCCTGAATTGTGGCTGTTGTACCACTTGATGGGGCATTTACATATTATTTGCCACTTTCACTGATAAACTACTCTCCTAACAGCACCCTTTTTATCCTTGCAGAAATGATGAGCAAGTTGGAATAGTGGGTTTATAGCTAGAGCTGATAAAGACTTCAAAATAGCTTATACTCCCTTTCTTAGAAAGTATTTAGGAATCTTTGCAAGAAAACAAATACTCAGCTCCCCTCTTTTCTCCCACCAATTCATTTTCTGGCTACTTTTCTAACTTCACCACTAGACAAAACCAGGAGTGGCACTTTCTAAGAGTTCTTCCTTTTAAATAGTTCACCATATAGATCCCCTTGCCATTTAAAATACTGTTTTTTATTTGGATATGCAAGCCATGCCCCTAACCTCTGTCACTATTTTATTTTTATCTCTGTATATTTTATTTCTAAGAAAACTTTATATAACTTAATTTATTTTCTTTCAGTTGCCTCCAGAATACTTTAAAAAATATTTATTCTTCTGAAATAAAGTTGTCTAAATGTGTAAGATTAAACCAACAGCTCATAATTTAGTTGCCATTCTTGGTGTCATTCTTAAGACTGAGAAGTGCTTCTTCTTTTTTTTTTTTTAAATCTAAGTTGGTTGCTCCCCCATTTTTTTTTTTTTTTTTTTTTTTGCCTGTATATAGCTAGAAGATTTGTGCAAAGAATTTCAATCATTATGTTAGGTTCTTGGAGGGGAACATTTATTCTTAAAGTACTTTATTTCTATTTTATCAGACATGGCCAGAGTGAGGTCAAATATGGCAGCACTAAGAATTATTTATTTGGATCTGCACGCTTTGTAACAATTCAGGTAACAGGTTTATAATTTTTTTCCTGTAAAATCATAATCAGCACTCATTCAGGAATTCATTGCTTGGTGACATGTAATTTCCATCAGATCTTATTAAGTAAAATAGCTCTCCATTAGGATGTAGACATACATCTTATTCTCAGGGGGGTGACTAAGTAATTTGTGAAGAGGTAACAGGCTTTGGTGCCCCCAGCCTGTGTCTGTGACAAGATATTACTCTGGTCTCTAGTCAACTGGTCTCTAAGCTACCTATTCGTCTTGTTTACTTTTTGTTCTTGCTTGTTTTGTTTTAAATAAAAGGAAAATTTTCTATACTCCTAAATCTGCTCTATAGCAAACAGAAGCACTGATGGGCTTTTAGCTTCCAACTTAGTAATAACTTAGCATCCAGGTCTATCTTTGAAGGAAACAATAGGTTTCCATTGTAGCACCAGGGCTGCTCAGGGATAGCCTGTGTGGTTAAATACTGACTGACCATTTCTCCCAGCACCGTGGGGAGAGGAGGCTGATTGTGCGCTTAGTGATTTTTTTCAGATTTCTCATGCACTTGGAGAGTAGGTATCTGGGTTTTTCCTGTTGGCTTAAATGTTTCCGAGCAGAGATGATATTATGAATATTTAACAGACGGTAAGACACAAATACCAACAAATCAGAATGGACTAAACTGCCACACCTGTATCAATAGGTAGATGAGAAGCCAGATTCTAAGGGTTCCTTCAAGACCAGATAGTAAGACTATAATGGGCATCTTGGGGCAGGGAATAAGAGGCAACTGTCACTTTGTGACTTGGGGAAAAAAATCTGTAATTTTGGGACTCTTCTGGTAGAGGAGAGATCTTAGAGAGTCCCTGGAAATGCTGCCTAATATCTGGCATCATGGGGAATCCCATCTCTCTTCCATGGACACTATTTCCCTCGTTATGAATGGCCTGATTCTCATGGAACTCTTTGATACCAAGTACCAACCAAGAAGTAAAATGTCATTTTCTCTAATGCTACTTCATAGAGTCCCTAGAACTCACTGGCCATGATCTGATTTCTTTCTATAGAATAGGCTGGCTTCTTGGTAGCAGGTATTTTAAAGTTATGCATACATTTCTATGTAAAAATAATGGCATTCTCACCCAATACCGAAATGTGAAATAGAACCTACCTTCAGTTTCTCAGGAGTGAAAGCATTACACATAGTATAGTTGGACCAGGTTCGATTGTTCTCAGGATGTTTATACCAATCCCCGTTCTCATCACAGTATTTTGTAACCTTTTCTGTTAATGAAACATAACAGTTATTACATTGTGATCTCAAAATGCCAAGAAGGAAAAATACAGCTTAAAAGCCATTCCAAGAGTTAATCACTTTATAGAACTTGAATGTGAATATAGGTCAATGGAGACTACCCTGAATCATGCGTTTTATAAGATGTTTTAGTATGTGTTGTCTCATTTTATCTTCAGCAAAGCCATGTAAAGCCGATGTTGCTATCTCCACTTTATAAGCAGGAAGCAGGGAGTGAGAGAGGTTATGGTTTGAAGTCACTAGAGAGTGGGTCAGCTGGGATTTAATATCAGGTCCATCGCACTAAAAAGTGCTACCTATACCGTGCCTCATATTTTTTAACAAACCTTACATTTCTGATTTTAGATAGGAACTATGTGAAAATGGCAAGACCATATTTTTCTTCATTTATATGCAATATGTATGTATTAGGTTGACTGTATGAAACTGCAGTTTTTGTGGGTCAGATGGTCAAATACTGGCAATTTCATATAGTTAAGTCCAATAGAACAAAAAAGTCCTAAACTAAAGGATGTATCAAGAAATCATTTTTATGCTTCTCAAAAAGATTTCATTTGAATCATCTCTCTTGATCCCACAGAGGGCATATTAGGGATTTATAGATTTAGCCTTCACTATTTACTTCTTGAATCAACTCTTAGGTGATAGTGAGATTTGCTGATTTGGCTGGATTGGCATATTAAAGATCTCTACCTTGCTATGGGCCAGGTGTTGTGCTAAGCACTTTGCAGAATTGTCTTCTTTAACGTTAATAATGGCCCTTTAAGATGGGTATTGATCTTCCCATTGTACATATGAGGGAACTGAGGCTCAGAGAAGTTAAGTGAATTCCCCTTCCACAGATAGCAAGTAGAAAGGCCAGGGGTCAAGTCCAGGTCTAGTCTACTTGATTCCAAAGCTATTGCGGGGCTACTAAGCTCTGTATGAAGCTTCATAGTCCTGCGGCAAAGTTATCTACACTTCATTCAGTGACCCAAAGAATCATAACTAATTTGGTTGACTGCAAGATAGTATTAAAATTCTAATCTGATTGGCTACACAATTGGAAGGAAAACATTGAATTAAATAAAATAGAAATAATGAACAAGGGAACATTAAAATGAATGCACTTGTCAAATTTAATCTGAGTTATTCAGACTTTCCCTAGTTCTCCAAAGTACCTCTGCAATGTGTTTATTGCCTCAGAGATCATACAGTAACCCCAAATTGGCATAATATGCAAACAGATTTTACCAGTGTATTTGGAACCCTCAAAAATTTTTGATTTTTGATAATTTCTTGGGAAAAATATTTTTGAAGCATTTTTCTTCATTGGCAAAGGTAAAGAGCTGTCGCACCTTTTATGTATGACTTCTGGTTTTTTTGTTTGTTTGTTTGTTTTGTTTTTTGTTTTAGCAGAAATGTGGAAGTCTGAATAACATACTAATATTTGGAGGATACTATTATTGTTTTAAAGGCTAAGAAAACAATTCATGTAAAAAAACTTGTCTGAAATATCACTGAGGTCTGATAATATTTAAAATAATTTTCTATAGGTAGTTCTGGTTAGTCAATCAATATGCTAATGGCCAGTATGAAAGTTCTTTTATCTTGGGCAGTTTTTAAGTGTAATTCAAAATTTTTCATTGTATGACTGAAACAGGTACTACCAAACTAAACACAAGATTCAAACTAAAAATTGTAGACTTGTCTGTATGTACTCCAACAATTATTTCAAGCAGCTGAAAAAACACATTTTTCAAGCAAAAGATGTTTTCAAGAAACCTATTAGAATCATCATTGCTTAATGGCAATTTGTTAGAAAGTTAAATAGAAAAAATTTTGTGAATTTGCTGAGACAGTCATTGGACAAAAACTATTTAGCGAATCACCACTGGACACCAACAATATTTCAAAAAGGGTTAGCACTAATCAGCATAGAAAAACTGATATTGACAACCAGTCAATGATTTTGCTAATGCTATTGTCGATGATGACCATTCCAAGCTTTTTTGCAATTTTAAAAAAGTGGTTTGTAACGAAGCATTTTATCTTACATTGTCAGAAAGTAGCTGATTATTTTATCAAAAGAAAGTTTTAAACAAAGTTATTTAGCTATGGAAGGCAAAATATATTCTATGGAGGAGGGAGGGGTGTTCCTCCTGAAAAAATCCATTCCAATCATGGACAAGACTGTAGGAGATATTATTTTGTTCTGATGTTACTAAAGTCTGGGTCTAGGCATTTCCTGGTCCTACCCATTGCGGCTGTAAGAACTTGTGCTCCTCCACCTGGCAAATCTTTCAATATTCGAAGAAAGGATAGGTCCAACTTCCTTTTCCAAACCAGACATCCCCATTTACTCACACTACACAGCTTGGTGTCCCTTCACAACCTAGAGCCTCTCTGCATGTGCTCGATATTGGTATTTCCCTCTGAAATATTCTAAGTTTGGACTGCCCCATGAAGAGGACAGCATGCTTATTTCACTCCAGATCCACAAGGGGGGAGCTTTTTACAGATTCTGAGGCCCAAACCCCAGAGGTTCAAATTTGCTTATCTGAAGAGGTAACCAGGCATCAGCATTTTAAAAAAGCTCACCAATTCCAAAGAGTATCAGGGTTGAGAATCATGGTCCTAAACCATATGTTGACCTTCTTGGCTCTGTGCCATTAATGTTGATTGAGTGTTTGACATTAAGGGCAGAACCTTAAGTACATCCTTGTTAAATGTGCTTTTTACATTCTAGCATATTCCTACAGGCTACCAGCCTCTTTTGAATTTCAATGCTGTTATTCACTCTATCATGACCTTTTACCAAACACTTCGTCTAAAATGAAATCTCTGTCATTTCATTGAACTGTTTTATCATTAAAATATAGCATTGGGTCAATGGTAAAATCCCAACGAATTTAAGTTTGTTGAATATAGATATTTTTAAGATGTGCTTTTCTTTTGAAGTGGATTTGTCCCCCACTTGAGAGGGTTTGTTCTAAAAACCAGGCTGATAAGATGGATCTATGCCTGGAAATCCCTGTTTTGCTGACCAAAAACTTGCCTTTTAGTCAATAATTACAGCCCCTTTGGCAAGAGCCCATTGCTGCTCTGGAATGGCCTTGTAGCCTCTATTGCAGAAAAGCTCTTTATGCCAATCAAATTATCTCTAATGTAGTTGTCAAGTCAAGATGAATGAAGCATCATTTATTGGGAAGAGTCAATAAAAGCCAGAAAGATGATCATCAAGCAGCATTGAGTTAGAGTTTACAGGAAAGCCCTGCTGAGCAGGGCAGGACACTCAGGCCTTCCTCTTTGCACAATGAAAATTTTCAGAAGTGGCTGGCCCAAACTAGTTCGAACTAGTTTTTAAAGTAGTCCCCTGTAATCTCATTTTCATTATCTCTGTCTTACTGGGGTGGAACTTTGGATCTCATCCTTGTTGGAAGCACCAAAGCATCTCTTAAACACTGACACAAGGATAGACTAATTTCTCTGCTCTAATCTGGATTCCGGAAACTTTCTTGCCTAGATTTTACCATTTGACAATTGTTTTTCTATCTTAACCGATGTTCTCACTTTTGGTCTATCCAAAGTAACCTCTTGTCATTCATACTCAGTGAGCAAAGGTAAACAGATGGGCTGGTTGACCCCAAAATGTGGTAGAAACTCTGACCAAACAACTCTTGGAAAAATCTGAAAGGCAAGGTTGTTTTTCATCATCCCTTATGCATGAAACAAACACCGATTTCTCTCTTCAAAATGCTATTTCTAGTCAAGACCAGATAATGCAATGAAGATCCTTTTTGTCAGGACCTTGGCATTCCCTTCCACTGACTGAATGTTCTAACTCTCTTCCATGGAACCACTTCCAAAAGGATACTGAAGGAAAGAGAAAGATGAGACCGTGAGGTGTGGAGGGATTACTGTGCTCTGTTATATCACATCCTGTCAGACGAGGTCTGGAGCTTGAGGTGGAAGGACCTGCTTCATGGAGCCCTGCCCCACAGCCAGCCAGTTCAACATCTGAGCAACTTAAACATGCTCTGCAGCCTCAGGCTCACTCTACTCTCAGGAACAAAGCTCACCTGTTAACTGGGGCTTAAGCGGTGTGCCTGTAGCTTAGGTTCCTCATCTGGGTCTCTTTTATAACTAAGATGTATAGTCCCTTTTCAGTCTCTTAATCTCAGTTAATATTTCAATGGGACAGATTTTCTATCTAGTTTCTTGGAACAGAGTTTTTCTGGACCCAGCACCTGTAGTCCCTGAAGCTGGCTGGCTACTGCTTTTTTTTTTTTTTTTAATTATTTGGTTTTTTTTTTAAATTTTTTTAAGGATTTTATTTATTCATTTGAGACACAGAGATGCAGAGAGAGAGAAGAGAAAGCATGAGCAGGGAGAGAGGGAGAGGGAGAAGCAGGCTCCTCGCTGAGCTAGGAGCCCGATACGGGACTCGATCCCAGGACCCTGGGATCATGACCTGAGCCGAAGGCAGACGCTTAACCACCTGAGCCACCCAGGCGCCCCTGGCTACTGCTTTTTACCCCTCTGGTACCCACCTTCCTCCATTGTATCAGTCTCATCTGATTCTGCGCTCCACCTCCCACCGACGCAGCTACTCAGTGTATTGGTTGAGCTTTTCTGGTATCCGCCACTTTCTTATCTGGACTTTCTTTATTATTTAACACATTTTCATCTTGGCTGCACATTTTGTCACAAGCAGAACTTTAAAAGATCCTCGTGTCCAGGTTATACTCCAAACTAATTAATTCAGAATGTCTGGGGTGGTACCGGGCATCAGGATTTTGTTGTTTCCAAGATTCTTAGCCAAATTGAGAATCAGTCACTACTAACACCTATTCAAATCCATCCCCCTGACCCCCATGTGTCTAGTCTCTGGACTGAGGCTGTTATACAAACTCAAATTTTATCTCTTTACACATTCCTTGCATTGCTCCTGACCACTAGCCACTGGGCATCTTGGATTCCAGACCTCGAATCTTTTTGGATAGCTGATGTTTCTGAGATACGTCCCATCAGCCCCCTTGCTTCTTACTTACTCCACTTGGTAGCTGGCACTCCTAGACCTTTATCCTGCCTATGCATCCTGATCCAACTTCCAATTATACCAGTGTGGCTAGATTGAGGCCTGAAGGAAAAACATGTCTTCCCTAGGAGGTTCCTAAAGTACTTCAATCTGTGCAACTGTGTATGGGGATTCAGAAATACTGTTTCTCAAATGCTTTTCCAAGACTGTTGCACTTACTTATAAAGAGAGGGTTAGGTAAGAGCTCAGGAGACTTGGTTCACTTGCAATTTTGTGTCAAATATTGTGTGAGTATATAAATTTAGATAATATATATGAAAATGTTTTGAAAAGTAAAAAATGATACTCAGTGAGAAGTATTCCTATGTTACTTTTATAGCTAAAATGAATTTGGTGTCACTTATTTACTTAACACACATTTGTTGACTGCTTGTGTTGTGCAGGGCATGGAGCTGGATGTTAGTATGATTCATTCATTGTAACAACATTAGTCTTATTTACTGAACATATATTAATAATCTACTGTTGGAACAGAAATCTAGCAAGTGTCTAGAGTTACTATCTTCTGATTTAGTTTCCTTTACACATGACAGTTTTATATAACTTTCAGTGTTATATAAAATTTCCGTTGTGTGTGCTCTATCAGTCCTGTATACCCAAAGTCTAGATCAAGTATTTGCATAAGTCACCAAATGTGCAACAGGTGAAAACTGAAAGATAACCACATTTAAGTAAAACTTCACAGAGTTAAAAAATTAATTTAAAATTTTATTAAAATTTAATATTAAATATTTAAAATATATAAAAATTTAACTTTCATTTAGAATTAAAGACCACTGTGCCCATCTGACCAGTAATGTGACCTAAAAAATAAGGAGAGCTTGAAATACTTATACAACTCGGTGGTATTTCAAGTAAGGAAATGCTTCAGAAAGTGCTGAAACATGTAGAGTATGATTAGATAGGTATCTTTTATATCTGATTTTTTTTTCAGAATCATGAAAATTCTAAAAGCTTCATAGCAAAATATGAAATAAAAAGAAATATTTTACCTGTTGGATCAAAGTCTGGAAAATAATCTGGGCAGTACTGCTGGGACAGTACTCCAGCTGGTGTATCATCCCAGCACAGCCATCCATCCCACGTGCGGTTGCAATACGGACCTGATGATTCACAAAGAAATTGGAAAAAGTTGGAAAAAGCTGCAGAATCATCAGCAGGATTTAACAGTGTTCAATAGGACCTAATATTTAATAGTTATTCTGGAGTGCTCTACATGCATATGGAAATATGAAAAAGAACAGCCGCAGCAACAAAGCAAAGATATTAACTTGACTAACTCTTAATCAAATTTACATTTTTATAGGGTTTTCTCCATTTGCTCTTCAAAAGACACACATGTCATCTGTATGGAATCTTTCCTCCAAAATCTTTCCTTTAAAATATCTCCAGAAATGCTGCAAAGAAATCTTGTGAAAATATATGCAATATCACCCCTGGATAAGAGGCTTACTTTGAAAAAAAACGATATAGCTTTAGAACATATACAGCCTACTAACCATTAACCTTAAAAAAGTTTGCCTTGGATGGCTCTATTCTTTTTTTTTTTTTTGATTTCTTTATTTATTTGCGCACATGCGCGCGTGAGAGAGAGAGAGAGAGAGAGAGAGAGAGAGAGAGCGCGTGCACATCCACAAGAGCAGGCGGGCGGGCAGAGGGAGAGGGAGAGAGAAAATCCTCAAGCAGACCCCCTGCTGAGTGCGGAGCCTGACTCGGGGCTTAATCCCATGACCATGAGATCATGACCTGAGCAGAAATCAAGAGTCAGGATGCTTAACGGACTGAGCCACCCAGGCGTCCCTAGGATAATTCTATTCTTAATCCAAGGGTTTAAAATTCAATTGTTCAAAATTCCTATTGGAGATGCATTTGTAGAGAGTTAATAGATTATGTATAAAACTAGTCTTATTTTAGAATCACACTTTATTAGTGGCTAAAATAATGCTCAGTTTGAGCAGTTTATGTATTTATCAGCATTGCCTCCAAGTAGTTTCTCACTCCTTTCAAAATTTAATTTACCCTAAAACATGAAGATTTGCCTCCATAAAGCTACTCAAAACAATAAGCCTCAGGCTTTGAAGTCAGTTCTAAGGAAGGAAGGAAGGAAGGAAGGAAGAAAGAAAGAAAGAAGAAAGAGAGAAGAAAGAAAAGAATAGAAAAGAGAAAAATGATTAAAAAAAGAAAAAGAAAAGAAAAAAGAAATCTTAAAATACTGATCATAGTACGAAAGTTCAACCTCTGATTAAGACTGAAGTGAAGGAGGCTGCTTTCACTTGGTCTCTGAAAATAAATTTTGTGTTTCTCTTATTTCATTTGCTTCAGAGGAATGGTTTGTCTTTGGGTAGAACTGCATCTAATAGCTTCTCAGGTTCTTAAAAAACACTGAAACTACTGCAGATGGAAGAATAACATGTATCTGTCTTTTAATTGTCTTGAGTTTTGTTTAAAGGAAAATGCTAAAAATAGGAACTAGAAATTAAAACTTTAACTATTTGAAGGCAAACCATGCGTAGAAACAGAATATACTTAAACGATATTCCACCCTACCAGGCAGTGTTATCTTAGAATATACAAGGGTGTACACGATCTTGTTGGGACTTTTCAAATGCTTTAGGGGACAGGGGAGAGAACTGAAATGGATGTAGTAATGTTTGGCCATCTCATAGCCTTCTATAGCTAAGAGAATGTGCTTGGCCCTGAAAATATTTGTACAGTCACACAGAGCATTCTAGAGAAGGTGATAGATAAACAATGCCTGCCTAGGAGAGAGCTTGTATTAATTCCTCTGCGAACGGGGGGTAGAAAAGAGGAAGGAACAGGAGTTGCCCACCCATTGACAGTTAGGGGAAGATACTGCCTAATTAACCTGAGCAAGACAGGGTTTTGACGGGATTCACCTGAGGCTAATTCTCTGCCCTCTATTTTCCACTTCCCTTCCTGTCATTTTCCAGGTCCTCTCCATCACTTAGCCCTGTATTGTTCCTCCTTGGCAGGTGTGACTACCGAGTTATTGTAGTAATTTTGTCATAGGTGCAGCTGTTAGCCCAAAACCAGTTGGGTGAACTTGGGCAAAGAAAGTAGACATGTCTCCAACATGAAATACACAAACATACCATAGTTTGAAAACCACTGTTAAAAATGCTGGCATATTAAAATTAGTCAACACATATTTATCCATGGAAGAAAATAAGCCTTTAATGATATTTGAAACACATATTCGCATACATCCTTCTTTTTACCTTCTCCTTGGTATGGGGGTAACTGCTGCATGCGGTCATAGCATTTGTACTGCGCATCCGACATTTTCTTTCGTCCTAGGACGTACAGAAATGGCTCGGACTCCATATTGGGAGGATAGGTGTTATTTGAAGTGGCAGGAAGAATCGGGGTTGGGTGCTGCATTAAAAAGACAAATCAGTTACTTATACAGAGCAGGAATGGGTGGATACAGAAATAAATGAAACAATCAGACAGTTTGAAAACATTTTCCTTCATGAGCAACAATTACGAATGGTCTCCATGTAGGATATTTTTCTTCATAACTAAAAAGTATATTTATATTTCATCTACAAATTCTACCTACAAATTTCATATTTGCATTCATCCCATTCACTACTGAAAATGTATAGCGCCCACCCATACTCATGCACCTCTTTATCATATAAGATTGTTTTAATTTTATTATCACTGTAAAGTTTAGAAGTAAAACAAATAACCTGATTTCCAAAAAAAATACTAATATTAAATCAATTTTGCCTTCTTTGGAAACTCTAATAATCATGAGTCATGCTATTAAAAATAGATATATTAGTGCAATAAATGAGCTTTTATATTAGATTATTTCAGCTTTTTAAAAATTTGTGCTTAGATTATGTACACTGACAAAATTTCACCCCAGTTATTCCATAGAACAAATGAAATCTGTTCTTCTGAGATATTCTGCATTGGATGATTGGCCTTAATATCTTTAAATTGGCTTCATCAGCTGATGACCTACACAGGATTATTTATTTTCAATACTGAAAGTCAACGTAAATCTTAAATATTTCTCCTAGCGCTTCTGCATTTTTGGTACAGGCTGACATTGGTCATGATCACCATCTTAACACATCATCCTAAGTTGTGTTTATATAGATCTCAATCTCTTTTGTGGCCATGATGTTTTTGGTGGTGCCTGAATCCATGATTTTCTATATCCATGTTCTGCATAGAGACTTTTTTCAGAGAAGACCATGAGCTTCAGCCTGCACTGACTTTTCTTCTTCTGAAGTTAGAACACTCCTTGTTCTCTTTCCATCACACCTGTTAAACACACTTTTTATTTGGCCTTATTCTGACTAAATTATTCTAAGATTAAGGTTTCCCCAAATGTATCGATGGCAGAAATAGTGTTATGTACTTTTCTCTATGCCTCACAGTCTCTAAAACAAACTCATTTTTATTAAGTTGGCCTGTATACATCAGGCTACTCATAGTAGGGCCGCACTGTTTTCCAGTGTATGTCACTGTGTAGACGGGGCGCCCTGTCCTATAAGATAGCATGGTGCTAAAAGCTAAACTGTACAATGCATAATACAACAATTCAGAACAGACAGAGGGCATGGAACAAGAACAGTCAGGGATGACTACAGACACAAGGTAGAACTGGAATTGGACTTTGAGTGCCTGCACAGGGAGGAGAGGGAAGGCTTTCTGGATGGAAGGAAAGGAATGCGTCTAAGTCCTAGAGGTAGGAAATGGCATGTATGAGTCACTGTAGGAAACCATCCTTCCTGGAGGGGAGTATCTTTGGGGGTTAGTAAGAAATGGAGTCAAGGAAAATCAGATAACACAGAGCCCCGAGAAAATGAATACAAAGTGTGTGGTGCAATGAAAGGCTCAATACATTTTAGCTAATGTTATTACAACATGACAATAAAATAAAGATGTCATGCAGGTTTTTGATCAGTGAAGGCTGCGAAAAGGAGAGTGTTAGTAAAATTCATGTGGTGGGCGTCAGATGTGCACAGATCAGAGCTGGGGAGGGAGCCAGGAAGCCCAAGGCAGGGACTAGATCACCACAGGAGGGAGCAGGGAGGTATAGCCCTCAGGACTTTCTCAAATAACAAAAAGATGTATTTGGAATATACGGAAAGGAGAACAGTTAAAAGTCAAACAGCTCTGATATTTTAAACTACAGAATGGAAAAAATGGGAGTGCCCTGAGAAGGGAGAAGTTGGGAAAGGAAAACCTTACTGGGGGAAGAAGGTAAGTTCTGTTTTGTACTTGTTTTGAAGGTGCTAGCAAGCCGTCTAAGTAGAAATTGCTTGCAAACAGAAGAGGGTGAATACTTACTACTTATAATTCTAGATGGACAATGACTGCGAAGATGGCTGATACTACTCTTTGGATATTAGGATTATATCTAATTTTAATGCCTCTTGGATGTATGACAATGAAAAGAGAAATTAATGTACTGACAGAAATGATTTAAAATGTACAAATCCTTTACCCATGTAGTTGAACATCATTCTGTTGTCATATGACCCTTTCTTACTCATTTCAAGACCAATCAGTTGGCAAATAGTTATTATTTGCTAGTAAGTCAAGCATTATGCTAGAAACTGAGGATACAGTGCTGAATAAAACACACATAGATCCTGCCCTCATAGAGCTTACAGACTAGCAAGAAAGACCAACATTATAAAATATTTTCTGACACCAGAAATTGTGAACGGTAAAGAATCATCAATCACTGAATGCTCAGATAGTCCTTCAGGAATTGGAAAGTGGTTTGCAAGTAAAAAATACATATTTTGAAGCAATTTCATGTTAAGGATTCATTTTGGATTGTATGAGCCTCCATTTGTATGAAAGCACGTGTCTGTGTGTGTGTTAATAATCTCACTAGAGATCACATAACCATGGTCTTTAATAGGTCATTGTGTCCTCACAATAAGAGATATTAATTATAGGTTAAACTTGTGCATCTATTTTAGATTCTTTGTGGCTCTGTTCTTAGAATCTTTCACTGACACATATTTATTTATGGGCCATTTTCTCACCACATTCAAATCAAATTAGAAGATGGAATGTGATGTCATATATAAATATTTATATTTTAGATATTAGGGACTATTTTGTTTAAGTTTGGCATTCCTTCCAGAAGTAACATTCTGAATTCTATCTTTAAATTGACTGGGCAACCAGTTAAGAAATGTTCCTGGAAGCCATGGGGAGGCATTATGTGCAAGGATATCAAGAGGAAAACCCTGTGCTTGTATTTTTCAATTACAGGATTATTTGTTTTAATGCAGTTTTAACATCAGTCACAGTAAAGACATGACCATCCGAAAGAGCGGGTGTCGTTCATGTAGACGGTAGTAGCATCAATCTTATCATTCTTGCAATATTGAAACAAACTCCAGTGAACTGGGTTTGGAGGCTGGTTCAATAGAGATTGTTTCAACACTGAAGGAATGAGAAATTAGAACTTCTGTCGTAGATGAGCCATAGTCATCTGAGTCCGCTCCTTGTCTGGTTTGTGTGTGAGCACTGACGATGGAATTTTTCCAGTGGTAACTGAATGTTTCAGTGATTTTCTTCTGAAAATAACATACACATTGAGGCATTCTGTCTATGTATGTGGACATAGACAGATAACTATTATATATATATATTTATTGGATATATATATCTATATAGATATATATAGATATATCTATATAGATAACTCATATATATATATATATATAGATAGATATATATATATATACATAATTCCAACAATGGAATTACTACTGCTTGACAATAATACATATACAAATTTCATAAAGTTCACTGGACATATAAACTTTTTGCTGATGAGTTTGTACCAACAAAAATGGCTAGGAGGTGGTGTAGTTTTCAGCAATATAGAGACAAAATAGAAGCATAGTGATTAGATAAGACTACCAAGCAATGTGAAAGACTTAAAAATATTTTACTTATCGTATTATGTTTATATTATATATTTGGGGGCATAAATAAATATTTTATGCTCACATGAGGATAGAGATGAGCTATGAAGGGCACACTGCTTTTGTGGATAAAGACTGGTGTTCAAAGCTTTGCATACAAGCCATCTTAACATGATTTTTCCAAAGCAAAACAAAAAAACAACCTCTTACTTGTTGTCCTATGTAGCAGTTTAGCCGCCGTATATGTGATGTCACTCCTAAAGGTGCAAGTAAATGGCGCCACACATACAGCCACCAAGCTGCCACCAATACCTGTAGTCCTCAGCCGAAACACCGCTGGTTCTTTCGGGTAACAGATACTTTGCTTCCCACATGCCAGGTCCTGTTCTAGTACTGGAGACTCAGCAGTGAACAAGACTGGTAAGGTCCCTGCCCTCATGGGGCTTACATTCTAGGTTTCGTGCACACTAATCCTGGAGTCCAATGGAAAGCAATCTGGTTTGAATGGTCATGTAGTCAAGCAATTCCTACTTTGATGTAAGACAACCAGCCTACTTTTGGGATCCAGGTGGTTTCTAGAAGCACAGAGACAAAATAATTATAGGACTGTTCTGTGTAGACCTTTAAGAAATGGCCCATCTCTGCCGTGGTTTAAACCTCATGAATGTGGGAACCCATGCTACAATGTTGACGGGAAAGATTCTTAATGATTGCCAGAGACAGAACTACTCTAAAAGGAACATGATTCTAGAATCCACAAACTGATATAACCAACAGGATTTCGATGTCACCATCCTTAATATCGACAATGTAGATGTTGGAATTATTGGTAGGCTTCAGTTACTTATACTTTTCAAAATAACAATGGATAAAATAGAACTTTGTAACCTGTTAACCCTGGTTCTTCCAGGTAGGATCAGACGGTTGCTGTCCTACGTACTTTTTACTTAAGCATTATATAAACAACAAAACTGCTGTGTGATGAAAAATTCTAAGCAAATGAGGGAATACAGCTTAGTTAACAACAAAATGCTTCTCAGAAGAATCTAGTTTTTCTAGGTCCTCATCATTGTTGTTATAATTATCATCATCATCACTACATTTTTGAGTGCTCACTATGCGTCAAGCACTGTTCTAAGCCTATTACATTACTGCAGATAAGGGAGAGGAAGTGAGTGGGTGGTTTTGCTTAATGTAAATTGAGGCTCATGGAATGTGGTGACAAACTGATACTTTAAAGAGCATTTGGAAATCAGTTTCGTAGAATTCAATAAATACACTCGTAGTAGTTTTTCACACTAATGTATTTAAGAAGTAATATTTTATAGTAATTAAAATCAATATCACTTTTTTAAAAAATTTAATTTTCTTGGAGGAGTATCCATGTGGAACACAATGAATGTTTTAGAAGGAAACTGACATATTTATCAAAAATTTTTTATGGAAAAATTCTCCAAATCAAATATATGATCCAAATACAGGATAGAGAAGCAAATTTCTGTTTGTCACAGCAGAGAGCACAAAACCACTCAAGTGTCCTGTGTAGGGGTGCCTAGGTGGCTCAGTCGTTAAGCGTCTGCCTTCAGCTCAGGTCATGGGGATTGAGCCCCGCATCGGGCTCCTGCTCAGTGGGAAGCCTGCTTCTCCCTCTCCCACTCCCCCTGCTTGTGTTCCCTCTCTTGCTGTGTCTCTCTCTGTCAAATAAATAAATAAAACCTAAAAAAAAAAAAAAAGTGTCCCGTGTAGTATGTTTGCTAGCAAAGAGATGCCCACAAATCAGAAGACATTTCTGTCCATGGCTCAAATATATGAAATTCTTTTAATGTCTGTATTTCAAGATATATTGGGTAAAAGTTTTGAATAGAATTGATCTACTTTAGTTTTTTAACACATCAGAAATGATCTGTAGTCTTTGTGGTAGTACTCAAACTGTCTTATTCGTATCTAGTAAGTTACTTCAGTAAATTAGTAACTACTTTAGAACTTTTCTTCTGTCACTGTCTAATATAATTATATGGTTTATGAAATAGAATTATTTAACTACTTTAGAACTTTTCTTCTGTCACTGTCTAATATAATTATATGGTTTATGAAATAGAATTATTTAGAAATATTTACATGTAATGGATCACACAGAATTTAAGCTCTAAAGATAACAATATCAATTATGAATGGAATATACCACTATTTCTGCAACTATAGAATCTCATATAAGGCTTGGGCATTTAGAGACAACATAAAATATGCTAGTAGTTCCTACAATATTCTTGTCTAAGTGTTTTTATTATATTTACAATGACATGAAGTTACTTGCATTTCCAAATATTGGATTACTTTTAGCAAATTATACTGTATTTTATCTAAAGATTAAAATAATACAACAATATTACATAATGAACTATACTCAATATCCAAGTAGATACAAGAGGGCTACATTAACAATCATACCCATAAACCATTTATTTGATGTATAACATTACAAAATAAAAATTCCCTTAAAAATGAGAGGAACTTTTTTGGAATATTAGTAATATTTTTCCCTGAATAATGTTAAGAGAAACAGTTTATGCAAACTTGTAAGCCTATGACTACTCATGAATTAACAATGTAAATCCTGGAACCCTGGGAAAGTTTTGTTTGGGTGAATATAATAATATCAGGTACTGACTTATTTTTATTGCCTCTATGATTCATTGGCAATGTTGTTCTGATGTGCTAGAAAGGATAAGGATCAAGACAACTCCTAATTTATTTATGTAAAATTTACTCATCTCTCTTTCATGTGTTGTGGAAGCTGATATGATGGTGGGTTAGCAAAATCAAAACCAATAAATAGATAGGCCCTGGTAGTATTTTCTAAGATAACTGCAGTTCTGACTACCTGCTAACCATTTAGGAATAAAACAGTATCAAATCACAAAACTTGGACATGATTTAAAAGGTTAGAGAAAGAGTTATGGAGTGACATTGGTCTGTTAAGACTTAAGATTCTTAGTCAATTTTTTTGAGAGATGCATTTAAAATCAATAACGTGACTGAAAGAGTTCAGATGTTTGAAAAAGACAGTAGCCCAGAAACTGTTGTTCAAATCCACCTAACATCAAAAACATTTTACCCAAGAACATTATTAACCTTCCATGTTAAATTCCAAGATAATGTGGAGATGTCTCAAGTTAATGCTAAATTTTTGTAAACAAAGCTCACATTTCTCAGTGAACCATAACAGTAATCTAAATTGTGAAAGTTCAGAGTGGGGATCTATTAGCAAAATTGAAGAAAATGATAGTTTTTTTAAATAAAGATTTTTATTTATTTATTTTAGAGAGAGACACACAGCGAGAGAGGAAACACAAGCAGAGGAGAAGCAGACTCCTTGCTGAGCAAGGATCCTGATGTGGGGCTCAATCCCAGGACCCTGGGATCGTGACCTGAGCTGAAGGCAGACGCTTAACCAACTGAGCCACCCAGGCACCCTGAAGAAAATGATAGTTTTGAGGAACTTTTGGCTGGTGAAACTTAGCTTTGGCAAGATGTCTACCCTTGCAAATGCCCATTCAATCGTACGCTGTATTTCAGCATTCTTGATTAATGTAGCTTAAATGATGTTTTACTTACATTTAGAAAGATGAAGAGTACCAAGCACCGGCGTGTGAGTGTGAACTTCATTTTTGGTTTTTGAAGATGATCTTCTAAGTCCTAGAAAAATATAAAGTAAAAAAGATATTTACATTAATAAACATAGCTTTAATATTGACTATAATCAATTTCTTTTTTTCTATTTGACTTGGAGCGGATCATGTCCCAAGACACCCTGCATAAAATTCATGTATGGAAGCAATATGCTGGTGATGCAAATGCAGTTGCATGTTCCACTCCTTTCCTTTCGGCCAGGAATGACTGGTGTCTGGTTGTTGTCGAAAGTCCTCCTATTAAGAAATTCCAGAGCCACCTTTACATATCAGGACCAAAACAAAGGATTCAGAGAAATCAAGAGCAACCAGTGTGGCTTCCGTTAACCCGTGGCATCAGTAAAACTGCTGAAAATTTCAATGGAAACATCCACAAAGAAATCACTTCATTGGACATGAACAAATACAACCTATGATTTGTAAAGGACCATTAGTCATGCCCTCTAGGTAAATTAAGGCCAACTTTGATTTAAGTAGTCTTATGTAGAGCCTTGAGTATTTTTCTTTCCTACAAAATTTTCTACAAGCTTCAAGTTGGGACTAAGAATAAATTTCTTCAATAGCAAGGATTGAGTATGTCACCTAACGGCTCACTGTTCCTTCTCAAAAGCATATAATAGTCAGAAACATGCTGTTGTGTCACAAATAACAGTTTTTCATGACTGTGCAGATAATTTTACACAAGGAAAGATAATAAAAGAGAGAAAAATTTAAAACATATATATATATTTTTTTCATCAGTGGGATTTGTGTGAAACTGTATTTCACCTAAGGGTGAGTGGTTATGATTGCATCATATGTCTTATACTTGATGTATTCTGCTAGGTATAAGTTAGTATTTACATTGTTTGCCTGATATGCTTGCTCCCAAAAGAGTAAGTTGTGTTCCATTTATATATCAGTACTATGGGAAGAGAAAATGAAGAAGGAGAAATTAAAGTTTTCTCCCAGCTTGCTAGCATGCGTACAAGGATGGATAGTGAAGAAATTCAGGAAGGGAAGTAAGGGAAAGAGAAGGACCTTTTAATTTGTCCTCTCCCTTAATGGAAAATATTACTACCTGAGTATCGGATGAGTCTTATTTCTGGAGTGAAAGGTAGGACTTTTGAAATGTATTATGTGTACTCATGAAATTAACACAGCTTTCCTTAACTAGATCCTGCTTTTTTTTTTTTAAGAAGGAAATTATAGACATACATTGAATTTCTAAAGGTCTGCTGCTTATGGTGGTCCTATGATTTAGCCTCTGAGGGAAGCAGGAAGTGTGGAACATTACAGGCGCCAGAATTAAAAGCCAGATCTCTTCTTCAGATGAAAGCCCTACTCATTAATTTCAAATGTAAGGGTTAAGCACAGTGAGAAGTCAGTTTCTCTATGAAGGTGAATATGGGGTGATTAGGCAGTTAATTGACTTGTTCTATCTATGTCATATATTTGATGTCATTTGATATTTTGTAAAGTATGAGTTGCTAGGTTTTGGCTCAACAGTATCATTACCATGGGGAACATGAGAAGCTGTGGGAGAACTGTCCCACTGAAGGTGAATGAGGGTGCACAGTCGTTTTGCTGTAGGAAAGGAGCGCCCCATGGTTTCAAAGCCCCACACACTGCTTTTACGACTGTACCACGAACAACTAAGGGGAATGAAAATAGTATGAACATGGATCTGAGAGTGAACATTTGGAAATGACAGAGGGGTTTAGTCAAGGAACAAAGTTCTTCCTTTTTCCTATGAAGTGGAGAGGTCAATAATTTTAAATAATCTTGCATTATTTTGAACTATAACAAATTTCTCATGTGCAACTTTATAGCAGATCCGGGCTGTACTAAACCTGCCTCTAGTTAGAGAAGTTCAGTTGTAATTCTCCAGGTTAAACAGTACTTTGCAGATATGCCTCTCTTTGAGAGAAGTATTTCGTGGCGATCTGTGAGGAGGACAGAAAGAACATGTAAATAGAATTGTGAAGGAAGACAGGTCTTTATGAATTTAAGGGAGAAAAACATGGCAAAGAAGAGTAAAATCAGAATGGAGAATAAAGTAATTCACCTTTGCTAGGATTCTTCCAAGGAAAGAGGGAAAAAAAGAAAAAGAATGAAGAAAGTTAAAAAGAATGACAGATGTGGAGAACCCAAAATGAACTAACAGAGACCTATAGCTTAGTTGAATGGATGATTAAAGAATGGGTAGATTGCAGGGTGGAATCTTGGGAAAGACTAACATGGAAAGACTAACATGGAATTTCCAATAGGCAGGGTTTGGAATTCAATGACCCTGAAGAGAACAGTTTTGACTTAGGTTTAGGGAGTTAAACCTGCACCCAAACAGGAAAGGACAAAGTCAGGCAAACAGCAGCTAATGGAGATAAAAATGGAATTTGGAAATGTTCAATTTGGAATGGGTACAAGTAAGACAGGTAGCTTGTGATCAGACAGTCATCTGGAATACCTGGAAGATGACTCAGAGAAAGCCAGAACAAAGCTTAACTTTGACATTAGATTTTTTATTTGTTTACTTCCTGTTGTTTTCCCTATTCCTTCTTTACAGGAAGGACTTATTCAGTTTTGCCATCCAAGAACCTAGAAAGAAATCTGGGACACAGTTAAGTGCTCAGTAAATGCTGGTTGCTTAGTTCAAGGGATGATGTTGGGTCAAAATTTGGTAAGGCAGCAAGCATTATTCTTTTCCTAAAGAGCCCTAATTGTAGAGCCAAGAGATTCTAATTTCTGCATTTACTTTTACGATTTCTTTTATTTTGGGCAAGGAGCTTCACCTCTATGCCATTTTCCTGTCTATAGAAAGACTCCTTAGCCAATCCTTCTTGACTAGGAGAAGAACACACTTCCATATGTGAAGCATATTGGTCCCCCTGGATCTGTCCAGCAGTCTAGTTACTAGGGGAGTGGTTTCCAAGATGTCTTTTAGCCATCTTTAAAAAACAAAATGAAACAAAAGACAAAAGCTCTTATGGGAGCCCCGCATATAAACCAGATGAATGTAGAATCTAAAAACTTGATTGTGGAGTGTGATTCAGAACATGTAAATGAAATAACCTTGGACAGTGGTTCAATTACTGGGTGGGACCAGAGAATCTGCACTGCTCTGAATCCACAAATGAGTACTCATTACTAATCTCATCTCTAGAAAATTGTATTCCTTTGTTGCAGGGATGAGTTGGTCAGTGGAAACCACTTCTATTAATACACACAGACTAAATCACTAATTCAATGATGATGATTGAATAGAATAATCTTCATTTAAGGAGAACAAATTTCCTTGACATGTAAAGTTACATTATTTTTATTTATTTATTTTTTGTGGAAAGAATATGAAATGTCAATGTCTGAAAATAATGTGTCTATTCTCATAGATCAGCATTTCCAAAAGTGTATTCCATAGAATAGCAGTAATCCCATGAGAAGCAGCATAAAATAAAGTTTCCATGGCCAAAAATGTTTAGGAAATTAAGCATTTCCTATATTCTTCTTAGAGATCTACCATAGACATTAGCACTTTAAAGTACCTAATTTTCCTGTACCAAAACCACTAGTTTGACTTTAAATCTTCATTCTCCAAACCTGTTTGACTATGAAAAACAAAAAAAAAATTTTTTTTGCAGTCACAATTATTAACCCATCTACAGAATATACTTTGGAAAATGCTCTTTTGGCTCAATGGCAATTTCTAACCCACCATAGTCTATTAACTTTGCAAGTCATGAGAAAGAGCTGCCCTTTTACTTAAAAATTTCTTTTTTTCTTCTCCATGGAGCAAAAGTGGAATTTCTGAGGTCTTAAATATTCCCCAGCCTTGGTACAAAGCCCAAAGCTATAAAAGGCATCTCAGAGGCAATTGCTCCTTTGGAGCATTCATTCGTTAAGAACCTCTCCCCTAATACCCTGGCCATGAGAACAGCAGTGGGATGAGGGTATGGGCAAAGAGCAGGAAAGAGAAGAGACAGGCACTGCTTATCTCAGAATAGCTATAGCCTTTTGTCACCCAAGGTCTGGAATCTGTTTCAAATTTGAAATTTGACATTTGTTTAAAGACAGATCTATCTAGTAAGCTTCTGTAGATAACAGTCCAAGTGAACAGGTAAATACACTGTATGAAACCACAGGGTCTGCTGGTTTGTTGCCTTAACAATGCCTTCTGTTTGGATAACTCCTTAATTACACAATCTATTAGAAAATCATTCTTCATTACTACAGGAACTCACTTGCCAAGACATAATGTCGTCATAAACCCAACTTATGTTGACATATCAAGCAAAGCAGAATGACTTTTTGCTCCTCATTGTGAGTTTAAAATGCTCATCTGACTCCAAGCTCCAAGTTTAGTTAGTGAAAACTGGTATCTCTGCTTTGGGGAGCTGCTTTTGGTAAACAGGTTGGCACATCATGTAAAAGAATCTAGATGAGAAGGGTAGTGGAATAAAAATGATGTCATATGGGAAAAAGTGACTTTTTCTTTGACTCTTGTCAAGGACCTGACATAGTAAGTGTTCAGTAAACATTTATCGAATGAAAAAGATAGATTGCCTCTAAGCAGTTGGCTAGGCAACATTAATCAGTGGGAAATCTTGGAGAAGTGGTTCAGGATCATGTGCCGTTCAAAAGTGTGACATTACTCAAATGGATACTATTAATGAATAATTAGATAGGATTTCATTAATTAAGACTAATTTGAGGAAAAGGCATTGTGACCTCATCAACACTTTCTAGTACTGGATCTGCAATAGCAGCCATGATAGAGAAAGGAGAGATAGAAACTATTTGCTTCAAATCAATTTAATTAAAAACACATCATGCACTTATTATGTGTGTTTTAATACCATCTCAAGATAAAGTTTAACTTCAATATATGAGAGGTTGGGAGAAAAATAGTCCAGTCTAAAGGGTCAGCATAAGCAAAGATGAGGATATGGGAATCACTGAATATGTTGAAGAAACTCTAATTGGGATGATTTTGAAGTTCAT